CCAAACAAAGAATGACTTATCCAAGACCAGATTTAACTGCGCATGCATCGCCCTCTTGCTCATGGTCTTGGAAATATTAACACGGTATAGCATCGAATGGGGTTTGATACTTAGAAAACACCGCTTTTCTGTTGTTTTTATCTTGAAAGATGATTAGTAGGGAGGTCTGTGTTGTAGAGTATGAGTATATATATCTTTGACGACATGCTGGGTCAGAGTCTCGTTATTGTCTAATTAACATTTCACTGTCATTCAGCATGCCACGTTTAACCTGATATTCGCCTTGGTTGACTGGCACAATGTCTGCTGACCTTGCAATGCTGAAATAGCATCCATTCATTCATTTGAACTGCTTCTTACCGAATTACAGTTTTGTGTACATCAGTGTTTTATGCTGATTTGTTGCCTGATCTTGAAATTTTGCTTTACACCAGTTGCTGTTGGTTTACTTACTGCTGTCAGTCCTTTCGTAGAGAATAATCGTACAAATCATTACAACGGATTATACATTCGTATATCATTTGCCTACCCCTTATTTCTGGGCACTATTTGAAGACGTTACGGCCCCATGGCTTTTGAGTACAAGCAGTTATTACCATTGGGTTTGCATTCATGGAATGTTAAGTTAATTTGTTCGTTAAATTCATTTAATTCTTATCGTATTAGTAAACGTTTTTTGACTCTCATGGTATCTTTATTTTATTTCGTGGTTCGTATAATTATTGGTCAGTTGTTACGTTTGCTTCTTGTTCGTAGTGTTGATTTGCGTTCAGGTTGTGTGTTTCTTTTTTCTCTGTTGATTTTAATGCGTATTCACTTTTTTGTTACGCGTGTGCAACCGGTTTAAGTTAAAGCCGGCGACGTGACTGTTGTGCTGTAGCAATTAGAAAGTTAAAATTAGTCAACTTTTAGAATAATCGACGTCTCAAATCTCGATCGTTGTTCGGGCTACCGACGTGCGTCGTTTTCCGCCTAGGTTTGGATGTTTGCTTTGAGCGAATCTCTGGAAAGTTGAAGTTTGCCTGCTCGGCTGACGATTCTTGTGACTCACGCAAACACACACAGACACATGCCCCGTGTTGTCGAGGTCAAGGTTGCGGTAAAGGATTACGAGGCGACTGCAAGTGCCATCTATGATCTCACCGATTCCATGGGAACCATCTACCGGCAAGAGGACACGGTGTTCGTTGCGCCGGCCGGCGGACAGTTATGGCTCGGTAGTGTCGATGGCAGCGTAAGTATTTCCGATCTGCTGATCGGTCGGCCTGGGTCGTGCTTCTTTTCAAATTTGGCTACGACACAGGCGGTCGGTCGCTTCGTCTATCTTGTTCAACCTATGTTGTTTTTAGCCCTGCGGAGACCTCGTTTTTCAAAAGAACTTTGGAACAAAGCAACCAATGGAATCTGAATATTACATCACCAGCATAACGGATAAGGAATCGTTCAAAGTATGCTTGGCTACGGCCATAAAGTACTGTTAGCAGTAGTTTGGTGTCGATAGTACACGCTTAGCATTTTTGTTTGAATTACGGGGGAGGGGCAGTCGTCGAAGTTCGGAATCACACGCACGACAGGCCCAAGCAACGCAGTATCTGTACTTATAAACAGCTAGGTAGTCATTGAGGTCTCTGTCATGTACCTATAAATAGCAGGCTGTGGAAACACAAATCGGTCAGAAAAAGGTTATTATGAATAAATGCAATTTGATTTGTTTTTACAACTAACAAGGCCAGTGACCAGTCTCCGTATCAGACTAAAACAGAACACGAAACTGTGAGCAATGTTTGGAACTCTCTAGGAAGGATAGAACACGTGTATTGATAACAGTGGATGATGTTTTATTGATCGTTGACAGCGCTAAAAGCAAGAAAGATTTAATTTACACGTATAGAAATATTTTCACGGAATTGACACCGATCATCATCAAGCAGTGAATAAGATTGAAAAACCGACTGCTGGATCAGTTGGTGCTTGACCGATCGGTCGTTAAGTATTTAATCATGCTCCACGGATGCGGAAATTCAATGCAGCCGACATAGTCATTATAAGCTCTACCTTTGCTGGCTTCGATGAGAATCGACTCCTTGACCAGCAGCTTCGTTTTGTTGCGATGTTGATCAACCACCGTGTCGTCGCTGTTCTTCAAGTCATGACCCTTCTTTAGAATCATAATCATCAGCATTGCAGTGGCTAATGGATCTTTTCGTGCTTTCCGTTAATCTAGTTATTAGCGCTCATCAGATCTTGCCGATGTAAATCCGATCAAAGCTAGCACGTGTAGCTTGACAGACGACGATATTACTCTTCAGTCTGGGCTGATGATCAGACTTATTATTTAGCAGGTTTTTGTAAAGTTTTGCCCCCGGAAAAAATGCCTTAAAACCGTAATTTAAAAAAAACGGTATTTATGAGAATTACAATCAGAAGGAGGTGGGAGGGGAGGGAGGCATGCGGGGCGTTTGAATACAGAATCAGTTAAATTCTGATATTTCCGTTTCTAAGAAGTGTTAATGAGAGATGCCTGATTTCACCCCTTAGAAGACGGTCAGCATAAGAAATTAGAGCCCTGTGACACATACATTCTGTGATGCTCATGAAGAAGGATTTGCGAGTGTTACGGTGAAGGTTAGAGTACTGTGGTTTAACATACTGTAAAGAAGAATGTACGATTGACGTCCAGTTTAATGAATGTCAAGTACGGTCATGTGGTTATTGTGTAACAGTTACTTGCTCTAATGGTACATTTGTACTGCTATTAGGGTCTTGGTTATTTAAATATTCTCGCAGTAGATGAAAATGTCCTCCATATATTTTAAATGAAGTACAGGGATGAAATGGAGTGAAATAAGAGTAAGGATCCAGTTTTGGATTCAATGCAGATTTCGGTTGGGACTACAATAACGCATCGGGATACTGCGACACTGTTCTTATATTGCATTATCGAATGCAAAATAAGCAAAGCTTGTTATTATATTCATTAAATGCACGAAGTCTTTGGGTTACTCACTGCAAGATTTGTATTCTTCCACTTATCCTTACTTTTGGCCATCATGTCTGAAACCGTATCCGGTTTGTCGAAGTTATCATGCAGCGCCACAACAAGCAAAGAAGTCATATGTAATGGTCCAGAATATCTCGTTGTTCCGCCGCTGATACTGAATGCCTGAGTATTTTGTCGACTTGCTTACTTATTTTGTGAGTGAGACTGTCCACCAAAGGTATTATGAACCTCAGATGCTCCTCATCGTTTATAGTGTTTTACTAGGACCTATGGTTTTGACATGCAACACACGTCGAAAGTCCGGATAATATTCTTTGCTGTATTCTAGTCGAGCTTAGATTTCAAGACCAGAGCATGTAAGGCACTCTGAACCAAATTGTTCACTTTTGTAAAGGGTTTTGCATTTTGTCTCTCACTGGCGGTTGTAACAATAACATAGGCTCCATTGACGTTCGCATGACGGGGAGCATGATTAACTGCCTAATTGACGATTGGCCGAGTGTGCCATCAGTCAGGTGAAGCACCAACATGCATGGCAGTTTGATTTTCAATGTTATTCATTACCTGATGATGACCAATGACCGAAGCTTTGGAATATCTGTGAATAATTGTTCGCATTTATACAGCAAAGCACCATCCCTTTGCTTCTAGTAGCCTAGGGGACTGTTTAGGCAGGTCACAGTTTCATGCTATTTTGCACCGGCAGGGAATTGACACTAAACGGCACCACTTCGTTTGATTGAACAAAAGCATTATCGAACACTAACGGATGTACCTCATTCCGTAGGGCTATAATGTAGTAAAAAATAAACACTCTTATTATAGGTATGCTAGCAAACGGTTAGCTTTCAGTACCTACAATGTGAGTAACATTCTCCTGACAGTTCTCCGGATTTACAAGTCAGGGAACCGTTCCCTTGCTTCCACAGCCTAGGGGTCCGTCCGGGTACGATTGACAGGAGAATGCTATTCTTACCCGTAATTTTGAAAGCTGGCGCTTTGCTACCAAGCCCAAAATAACAGGGTTTATTTCTTATCTATTGTGTTTCGTACTCCCAACTTTGAAATTAGAGACCTATTATCTTCAAGCAATTCTCAGCATGGTGTCGATATGAGTCTCATAAATTATTTCTATGAACGCATATTCATTGCAAATTTGATGATTCTGTGCAAGATGATGAAAAAATCCTTAATGCTATAATCTAATGTTCAATTGCTACTGTCTATGATAGGCACTGAAATCTGAAGTAATGCATACTATAAGATGGTTCCTTATAATAATTAACGATATTTGTATTGTCAGCGTGCCTAAGTCATACTGCAGATCGTTGTTCTTTAGCGGGATATTTATTTTCTGATTGGTCTTCCCAGCAAATATCTTATCGCAGTCATCGCACTAGACTCCGAGATCGACATTCAGGATTTTTTTCTGGGTTACTATGAGTATGCTTCTTTAACAGACGCAGTTACAGGTTGTACCGGTCTTGCAGCAGGTTGTAAGCACCTCTGTGCGTGTCAAGAAGTTATGTATAGGGAAAGGATACTTTCACTGTCAACCGAACAGAAGTATTGTGGACAACCTCCGTTTAATCCCCCTTAGAAACCTATGTTGATCTGTATATGATTAAGTTTAACCTCAAAAAAGTGAGTCACGATTCGCAGACAACATGCAACACATCCGTGACCATTGATGGATAATAATTGAATATGAATTCGCTCTATTTGACTTGCCCAGAATTGAGAATTACGGTATTGTAGCATTGCCTATACTGGTAGATGCATGTCATCATCCCTCTCCCTCTAAAGAAAAGTTTTCGTTTGTTATTCGTCTGTCATAAATATTACAATTAATTAAAGTCAATCGTATGTTCGAATTACAAATGTTCGATGGAGTTATTCGCATGAATCTCAGCCATTTCACTGTTTCTTTCTAGAAAGTAATGGCAGAGGCACTTGGCATAAAGGGAGTCGTTAAACGTAAGAGACGACTTTACGAATATGGCGGCGCAAAAGTTTGGTTGGACGACGTGCTTGGTTTAGGACATTTTCTAATGATCGAGGTAAATGTCTAATTAAAAGATCAAACTGTTATGATACTAATTATGACACGTGAAACTAAAAACTGATCAACTGTCGTATTGGCCAGGTCAGTCGTCGATAGCGGTTGGAAAACAAATCATTTGTCAAGATCAGCGGTAATCACAGCATTAGTTGTCATCGTGATTAGATAGGGTTAAG